TTACGAAACTAATGTCATCTAAACGCCAATCCATTAGAATAATAAACTTTCAACCTTTCAAATCAGATAAGTATAAATAAATTATCATACAAATAAATCAGATTCTTTTAAAAAACTTAAAATTCCAACCTTTCATTTGCTAGTAAAGTTTGCTAATCTTCTCTTTGTTTTTAACTTTTAAAATAAAAATTTACCTTCTTCTATTGCAAACCTTTTTATAGAAAGTAGACTAATTCATACACACTCTACACGAAATATAAATAATGAAAAACTTATTGTACCATCATATAAAACTCAAAAGTATGGTAAGAGTTCTGTTGTGTATCAGTGCATCTGTCAATGGAACAAGAGCCTTGTGCAGGCCTTGTGATAAATAAAAACTGTATATTATTTGCTTTTCATATTTATCGACATTAACTGCACTAATTTACTATATTACCGCAAAACTACTTTAAATCATTAATGTAGAAATGTTATTATTTAAAAATGTTTTGGAATGTTTCGTTTTTTAAAATGTAAAAATATTTGTTTATTTTCTCGACGTTTGATGCGTTTTGTCTATACTAAACAAATAAAAAACATTTTAACTAAACATTTAAAAAAGATTGTAAAATATGCTAATATTTGATTTTTTTTTCTTAAATATGTAATTTAAAGTTTTTTCGCTTTACATCGCTTTACATCGGTAGAAACTAGGTAACAAAACCAGGTTATATAAACTTAGCAAACTATTGACGTTCTATTTTTCAGCAGCTGTTCTTGAGCACGCTTCGTTGAGTTTCAGTAACTTTTAACAAAAAAAGCGATTGTTATTACTTAAGTAATTTTTTTTGAGTTACTTTTTACAAAAATTTTAATAACTGTACTTTTTTATTGAATCAAGTAGAATACGTTTTAATATTAATCTTTTTATTATTTTTTTTATATTTGCGCTTACCTATTTTTAAAATGTTTCCTCAAAATTACTCTTAAATACTTTAAATACGTCTAACAGTTAATAAATATTTTTAAATCTATGGAATAATTTTAAAACCTAACAAACCCCCATAAAATAATTATTTAAGTTAAAAATCTAAAACTAAAAGAAAGTATTTTTGTTCAATTTTATCGACAACTTTGCTATTGCTGAATAATTTCATTAAAATATTAGCTTAAAAAGATTTAAACTTTTTTTTTAATCTGAATTTTTTTTACTTTTAAATAATGAGCATATTTAATTTTTTTGTAATTCAAACTTTTATATCAACTGCGTGCGGTTTTTAAAATACTTTATTAAATGTTAAAATAATCGTAAATTACTTCATTAAAATTCCGCTCAAAAATATCTTTAAATATACTTAAACAAAAAATTTTTTGCTTGACGCAAATAGCCCTAGCTACATGCAAAATCGCTCTTGGACGACATAAAATAAACATCGGCTGACGTTTTATTGCAAGGCCTGCTTGTGTGCATTGTGAATGAGTTCAATAAACTCCAACTCCTTTGTCATCTTTTCTTAATCATAATCAAAATTAATTTAAAAAAATTCTGAAAAATATTTTGTTATAATTTTTTTCTATTACTATAATAATTATCCTTTTTTTTTGTTTGTTTTTCTTTTCTCTTTTATTATTACCTACATATATGATTTTTAAAAAGTTTACTTTATGTGTGTCTATGTTTTATGTTTTTTATCTATATGCTTATTATTAGTCATATTATTTTGAAAAATGGTGTCACTAGATTTGATAAGACTTCTGTATGTGTGACACCATCCATACTAATCATTAACTTATTATAATAAGAAATAACATATTATTTTGCTTATTTTTATTATAGTAATTATTATTATTTATAATTTTGTTTTTGTTTTTATTATTATTATTGTTATAAATTATTACTATTGCTTATTGTTTTATAATTATTATTGTCATTATTATTTACCTTATTATTGTAAAAATGATTTTAAAATGAAAAATAAATAGCTTGTTGTTGTTGTTGTTGTTGTTGTTGTTGTTGTTGTTGTTGTTGTTGTTGTTGCTGTTGTTGTTGTTGTTCTAAATTATCTAGTAAATGTCCAATATTCAAGCCTGAATTAACTGATAACGCCCTATATAGTACAGCAGTTCTAGCATCAATTTTATGCAAAATCTTACAAATTAAATTTTTTTCTTTTTTAAACTCCAATGACAATGTTGTTATTGATTGAATATCTTGAATAAAATGTAAATAAAATAAAAATTGTGGGTCTTTTATGAAAAACAAAAATCTTTTAGCTTTCTGTGCAGTTTTGTCTTTCTTATTTGCCTTGCTTTCAAAATCATAAATAATAACTTTATAGTCAGTTTTAAGCTATTCTTAACATTCTCGGCTAGCTAACCAACAAATATTTTTTAATCTCCCAAGCTGTTTATACTCTTTATTTAAAAAAGAAGCTATTTCTTTCAGTTCCTTTTTTCACTGCGATGAATAATAGTAAAAACAATACAAACTATTAATAATGTCATCTAGCTTATTTAAATAAATATCAAACTTTTCTAGTCTAACACAGAAAGTTCTAACCTCTGCGCCACGCAATGGGTTTATACTATACTGAGGTTTTTATCTCGCATTTTAGTTTAAACACCAGCTTTGTTACCAGACATTACAGATGTACCATCAAAGTTAACATTTAAAGTTTTTTTATAGATATTGTTTAAATATAAATCTTGATTCATTATGTCTATTGTTAAACTTTTTAAAGCGTTCTATTGCATGTAATATGCCAATGGCATCAACTGTCAGTGGTGAGTTAATACCAGCAAATATAGTTATTAAATAACCATTTTTAACAAATCTTGAAAAACTGTTTTTTGTTCACTAATACTCTTCTCATCAGAACCGTCAGATAAAATTGCAATAAAACAAGCATTTAAATTAAACTTAAGTTGCATTTTAAGTCAGGCGAAATTGAAAAAACAAAGTTTTTGCAAGTTTTGTCACTTAATTATTTCTTGTTTAACTTAATTCCATTTAGATTTTGTAGCTTGCAAAGCTGAGGAAATTTTTTAAATGCAAGATCCTCTTTAACAACAAAATATGATCTCCGAAAAATGATTGTGTTTTTTATTGTTTGGCGGCAAAACATTTATGGTGTTCCAAAACATAAATTCAATATCTTTTGGCCATATATCCAATTTTCTGAAAGCACAATCCAAGTCATTGCACTCTTTTTCTGCTTGCTAAGTTTCTCTCTCTTCTTCTCCTTTGCATTTAATGATACGCTCACTGTACCATCTTTCTTTAACATCGAAAAGAGGTTCAGTTTTTTTTTTTTAAAAACTTAAAAAATAATATTATATATTAAGTATTTAATAATAAGTTAATAAAAATATTATATTATTAGTGTTGTCAAATGCACAATAAAAAAAGTCTATAATAAACATAATAAATTTATATATTTTATTAGAATATGCATTTTTTAGTAAAACTTCAAAAATATTTTCAAAACTTTTAAAAGTTTTTTTAATATGCAAACAAACATTACTTCACTTTAAGGAAAATAAGGAAGAAGAAAGCACGCTATTGAAGAAAACATTAAGCTTAAGCATGGTTTTTTTTTAAGTAGTTGCAAATGCAGTCATTTTAGGTAAAATTTTGAATGGTTTTGTAAGCACATGCAAAAACGGTGCTCAAACATAATTATGTTTAAGCATGCTTTTAGCATGCGTTTACAAAGCTACTTCTTTACTTTCTTCGTTTCATTGAAAAAAGTAGTTTGAGTGTGATTTCTTTTTAAGTTATTGAAAATATAATTAAAATTTTGATACTTAATTGTTTTTTATTGCAGTTATTTTTATTTTATAATAAATAAAAAACAATCAATTGTTTATTAATTATTTGGAAAAAAAAATTGCTGAAGTAGTGCGTTTGTTTTGAAATATTTGAAGCAAGTGCCAATGTTTGTTTAAAGAAAAGTATAGAAACGTGAAGTTTGTTTTTCTATCTTTTTTTTAGCAGATGTTCGCATGTTTGTTGATTTGTCACGCCCTGAAAATTGCCTAAATTTATATAAATTGATAATTTCAGGAACTAAGTAATAGTTTTTCATTTCATTAGATTGGTCACCTCCAATAATAACCAAAAAATTGGTAATGTAAAAAAACACAAAAAAAAATCAATGCTGTCATGTGCTAAAATTCTTAAAAATAATATGCGCTTAAATAAATTATTAAGTCTGTAAATTATCTAGTCTGTAGACTGTGGCATATAATATGCTGACTTTTTTTTTTCAATCAAAAAGTTTAGCCTAACCATTTTTTTTTTAATTGTTCTCTTTAACATGAGGTTTGGAACACCTTAAGTAAAAAAATCAAATGTTTTTAAAGTTATGTGAAATGAAACTTCCAATTCCAATCTAAAAAAAGTGTTGCAATTCTGAGGGGACAAGAGAGGCCTAGCCAACATCTGCTTAAACTAAAACAATCATATATCAGAATCTTCTTGGGGAAAGGGGCTAAAATTTTTAAAGAATTCTTATTTACTAAGCACTTTCAACTATATAAAAATCAGCAAAATCTGAGATGTATGGTGACATGACCTGGGTCATTAAACATGGAATTACCTATAACACAATGTCACAAGTTGGTTGTGAATTTTAATAATACAAAAGCAGATATTGTTGATTTTCAAAAAAAAAAAGTTACTTAAAAACATTGTTGAATAAGGCAAATATAAAATTTGGTATATTAAAACACATCTTTACTTATGTTATTCTATTATAACTATACTTTCCATGTAAAAAAATATTTTGTAAAAAAAAGCATATATAAAATTGTTAAACTAAAAAATTTAAAAGTTAATTTTAAAAATGAAACCAGTTGCTAGAAAACACTAAGAAATAAATTTGCAAAATCTATTAAATAAAAATGATAGAGGCATTTTTATTTAATGTGCAAAGTTATAAACAAATTCAACAAAATTATGATGTAAATCTCTGTCCTGAAATTTTGGTTAATTTTTTAAACAATTTTTATTTAAATAATTAGTTTTTAATTTAGAAATTTTATTTAATAGTCACTATTTATGGCTTCGAGATCACTGTAGATGTTCAAAATGTTATAGCAATACAACTCATGCTAGAATTCAGCAAACACATAAAGTATTTATTTATTTTTTTAAAGGAATATTTGTATTTATTATGTTTTTGTAAATTTGAATGTGTTCTATTTTTAAGTTTTAAAATGGTTGTGTTGCAAGTTTATGATAAAATAGTAATTCACAAAGGCCAACACTCTTCTCCATATCCAGTAATTTCTGGGGTACTTCAAAGTTCTATCCTTAGTACTGTTTTGTTTTTTATCTACATTTATGAACTTCCTGACAGCCTTACATCTAAGTTTGTTAATTTTAACTCCAAGTAAACTCCAATGTTATTTACTGTAAACAACTATCGCAACACTGTCAACTTTTCTATATTAATGAATGTCATTTCTCACACTGAGTCTCTTTTTTACATCATACAGATTTTCTTTAACTACTGAGCCCTCATGAAAATCATATATACAATCTATTGCAAACTTGCCATCTGGTAAGGTTGCTTCTCTTTATCGTGCTACCGTTATCTTACTCTATTTTCCATTCTTTACCTCTGTAAATCTCTTATTTGTCTCTGTATGGAATACTGTTGTCATATTTGGGCAGGATAGGGATCAAATATATATTTGATTTTGAATTAATAAATTTTCAACTTACTTAAGCTTTAAAAATTGAAAAAAATTTTAAGGGGTTTTTAGTTTTAGTCTTGGTTTTTACCAAAAAAAAGATTTTAATACAATATCTTTTAATCAAATGCAATACGATAGGGGAAGTTAATGCACAGTTAATCAAATTGATTTTTAAAAAATTTAAAAGTCACTATATAATTATTTATTAGCTCAGCAGGGTTTTAGGATAGTTGTGTTATATAGTTCACTGCACCCTAGTACTGAGATACAGTGAATCACTACCTGGGACACAGTGAGTCAATGAAGACTGCTATGAATTAATAGTAGTCAATAGGCGTGTGGTCAAGTAATTTTGAAAGATAAGGGAGTAAGGACAATGTGCATTATAATTTTAGTCATTTTTGGTAATTAGATTATAAAATCATTAAAATAAATAATTTGAAAATGAAGAAAGAAAAAAAAAAGATTTTTATTGATAACAAAGCTTATTCAACCATATAAAATAACAACAATTTTTTTTGAAACAAATTAACAGAGTGCATCATCATAAGCTGTTAAGTCAAAAACGTAATCACTGGTAATTAATTTGTTTTGATTTTGAAACAAAGTTTCATTTGTGAAACCACTGGTGCCATCCATTTCATTATCTGTTAAGTCATGACTCAAAAAAGTTCATCAACTACCTCATTAGACAGATTTACACAAGGTCTCTTTTTGCAAGCTTTTTTGTCTGCAATTTTAGCTGCAAATATTCTCAGGCTTGGTCAGGAAACAGGTGCACTCGATAATTGACCACGGAAATATTATTTAGTTGCGAAAAACCGGCCAGATTTTTTAGTCGTTTTGAGAACATTTCAAAAACATACAAAAAAGCGCAATAAGATTAACTGGACCGACGTGAGACACTTAAAAGAGAAAAATAGCTTTTAACACGAAAAAACGCGAAGGACAATTCTTTTTGAAACGTCGCTCTTTTATAACTTTTTTTATAAAATAAATCGACATTTTTTGTATAAAGTCTCTAAAGAACTCTAAAGAAACAAATGTTCTTTGATTTATCAAAGAGTATATATAATTTTTATTTATATACTTATGTCTTATTTCCAGTGCTGGATTGAGGAAGTGGGGTGAGGGAAGTAGGGCTTTAGCCGTGGGTCTCACAATGTTAGAGGAAATGATGGTCAAGAAGACCATTCGGTATTTTTTAAAGTCATTTTTATGCTGTTGCACATAAAAAAAGCCGCCAAATTAGTGCAGCCCTCGGCCCTGAAAAGTCCAACAAGATTCAACCAGATGATTTATTTATAAATAAAAAAGTTTTTTTAATAAGTGTTTTATGCTTCGCGTAGTTTAAAAAGTTTAACAGATTTGAAACGATTCTTCTTAATAAGATGAACAAATGAAATTATTAAATCATTGAGTTACTGTAGCAATTCAATTAGCTAAATAGAAATTAACAAAAAACGTTAAATTACTTTGTGAGGAGGAAGCGGAACTGCTTCACAATACCGCTGATGATGTTTAGTAAGTGGAATTCATAATTTTAGTTAGTATTTAAAACAGAAAAAAGTAACTTTAAGTATAACGAGTTTGTAAGAATGGCTGAAGCAAAAATAGTTAATAAACCTAAAAACTTTTCTTTCTTGGGAAAAAGAATCAGTTATCGGGTACACTGAAGAAAATGATTTAGTAGTTAAAATTATTTGTATTAACTTTGACGATTATTAATAATTTCATTGAAAATGCAGTTATTATTAAAAGTATTTTTGTTTACAAAATCGATTGCACAAATTGCTTTAAAAGATTACATTTGAATAAAATACACATAGATAAAATTACATAAATAAAAATACATTACATACATAAAAATACATTACATACATAAAAAATACATCCCTTATATATAAAAAATAATAATATACTAATAAAATCTAAAATATATTTACAAAATGTTGACAAGTTAAAAAATATAAATTTAAAACATTTATTATTGAAACAAATGTTAGTTTAAACTATTTATAGCTTTGCAGATATGGCTCCAAGAATTAAAATATTAGTTCGTTTGATAGTATACTCTTAAAATAATTTATGCTAGAAATCTTAACAAAAACGTAACAAAATTCAAATAATACAGTTTTTAAAAATATTTCAACAGAATACTCAGGACATTCGGTTAGTTTTTTTTGAATACTCTAGAAATTTTGGTTAGTATTTTTTGAACCAATAAAATTAGTTGTTTGTAGATTTGGCGGGTTTTTTGGGTTCGCAAATATTCTTTTTTTATTTTTCCGCAAGATGTTTGAGAACATTCAAGTTTATTTTCGTTTCCATGTAAGTCCGTAAAACAAAATATTTTAAAATTTACGACAAAATGAACTTATTATTTTGCAGACAAACAAGGAAACATACATAAACTTCAATGTTCTCAAAACAACTAAAAAATCTGGCCAGTTTTTTGCAACTGAATATTATTTCCGTGGTCAGTTATCGAGTGCGATCGCACCCGCTTCCCAACCAAGCCTGAATTCTGCTTAGTCTTTTTTTTCTTAGTACTTTTATTTGTTTCTGTTTTCTTTTTTTCCTTTCTTTTTTTTTCTTTTCTTGTTACTTGATTTTTTAAATTTCGGTCTGGATGATCTATGTGTTTGGCAAAGTCCTTTTTTTACAGCAGTATCTGTTCAAATTAAGGTTTTTCCTTTTTTTGTTTTATCTCTATCTTTTCTTAGTGGTGCTTTTGGAAAGGGGGTTGTTTCTTCAAAGACAGTTTTGTGGTTGAAGATCCTGGTATTTTGAATTCTTTAAAGTTAGAAGTTGAAAGTTTAATATTATGATATAATGGTGTCTTTTGGTTTTGATCTTTGAAATCAACATTGGATTGTTCTATTGTACAATGAGTGACATAAGAGCCAAGAAAGTCTTCATAGCTAAAAATCACTGTATTAAATGGAAAAATCCATGTACTTTGAAATCCTGACACTATATTTTTAGACAAAAATGCCAAAAAGAAATGAATACCAACCAAGCTTTAAGTCTCATAAAGTGTTATAGGTTTACCTGAATTGTTCCCCATAAAAGAATTTGCAGCATGACTATAGAAGGATTTAAATGGTTTGTAGACAGTTCTGCTTAAAGGTTGTAGTTTGTGGCTTCAGTAAGGTGGTAGCATGACAACCTTTTTTTCTTTTGCTAGATCAATTATCCTAGTAGTGATTTTCATGATTGTCTAAAGTCAATTAGTCCAGTTGCTCATTTGAATCTTTTGTTAATGTAATAAAGTGTTTCATAAATAAATAAAAACTTTCAGGTGTCATCCAACCTGAAAGCGAGCTGTTCTGACTGTTCCAGGTGGAGCACTTTGTACTATCAAGTCTTTAAAATGTACTCTAGATAACACCATAAATGGAGGGATTACATTTCCTATAGCATTTACTGAGGCAAGTAATATAACCAGAATAACCCTCTCTGTTAAAATAATTATTCCTACTCCCAATTTTTTGTACAGTTTTACATTGTCATTATATAATTAAAATTATATTTTCTAAGAATTTTTTTCAGATTTTTAAAAAACTCTGCAACATTTGTTTTATTAAAACTTGATGTATGTGACAAACTCATTAGTGAAAAATTGTAGGCATTTATAGTTTTATGTGTACATCATCAAGACTTCATCAAGACCATATTATTTAGCCTTTTCCACAAAATCGTCGTAAACTTGAAAATACAATTTTACTATGTTTGCTTACAGCAGATATGATTTGCTATTTTTAATTACCATACGCACTGCATCCTTCATGTTTTTAGAACTTGTGTTATCAATTTTTTGTCAATCTGTTGTCAGTTTATAACCATATTGATTAAAGCAAATAAAGCATAAAGAATCGTTATTAGTTGTAATAAAGTTTTGTGGGTAATATTTTGTTGAACTATTTTAAAACGATATGTAAAAAAAAAATTTATTTTATCATTTTTATTTTAATATCAGATAATTATTGAAGTTATTAATAATTTATTAAAAGAAAAGATATTTATTTAACTCAGTAACCTTTATAAACAAGGTTACTGCACAAAAAAGTAATTTATGCATAGGCATACCATGGAGTTGGTGGGTATTACTTTTGGAATTTCTTGCTTCTGAAGCAAGTGCTCTCAAGGTCAAGTAAGTTGTCATTGGTTTCATTAAGTAAATTAATGAAACATTATTAGATAATGTCATTACATTATTTAATACTAAATGATGAAGGATTACTGATCTTTTTTAACAAATTGAAACATTTAAAATTTTATTTTACCCAATTAAAGGTTCTAACAACTTATTTAATTAATTTAAGAAGTCAAAAATTTTATAATAATTTTTTGTTGTTGTTGTTGTTTATAATGTGCTCCCAGAAGTTTTTCTGTCTTGAAACCGCGAAGGAGCATTTAACTAGAAAGTTAT